TAGAGAGTAAAAATGTTCTGAATTTGATGTAAAATATGCACTTAGAAATGCAATTTGAGTCTAGCAAACTTCTATAACTTATTGTAATATCATAAATTATATTTTATATGTTATATTATATATAAATAACTTTAATTATTATTGAATATTATTTCTCTACTTTGCTAACCTGGCATATATAAAGAAAAGTATTACTGCCGTAACAATCAATACAAGATTAACGAGTATCATCATTTCGCACAGTAATCGACAACGTAGATGGGCAAATAAGTGGACACTGAATTCAGTGCGACACTCGATGGGCTTTTTATAATTGATAACTGATGTAAGCTTGTTACGTCGGTCTTGCAACTGTTTCGTAAGAAATATACGTAAGTACTTATGTAATTAGAGATAACAACAAAAAATTTGCAATGTAATTAATCCATTTTATTCTAATTAGACGTTTTCGATTAAAATATATAGATATAGCCATAAAATAATTATAAAAACCAAGCGCACGTGAACATATAACTTTATCTTAACGTATCATTGTAAAAACCAAGCGCACGCAAATTATAAAACATAGATGAAAAATATTATTTTAGTCGTTAAAAAACAGTGTTGTTATCTTAATTAAGAGTTGCATCTTCGTAAAACAAATCGAATTAATTAGTTGTCCAACATAAAGTCCAATGAATAAAAGCCAGTGGTGTCACAAATTTAAAAAGTTATGTACAACTAATTGGTTCGTATTGTTTTACGAGGATGCAACTATCAAGTAAGATGACAATACTGTTTTTTTAACGACTGGGATAATATTTTTCATCTATATTTTATAATTTGCGCGCGCTTAGTTTTTATAATTATACGTTAGGATAAAATTGTTTGTACACTGAAGATAGCCACTAAAAATGTGCGGTTTGTACACTTGAATGATAAAGAATTATAAGAGCGATGATAAGCCAGCTCGGGTTTTTGACCAGCTTTTTTTTAAGTTTCGTAATTTATTTTCTGATATTAAAATCCACACATCTTCATTTTTTTATATTATACATATGTACAAGAATATTTCATCAAAAGGCCTTTTGAAATAATATTTGAGGATGACCCCGTAAAAAATGTCTCATATATAATCATGTAGCATTTAATAGAGTTATACAATATTTTACATAATTGTGTAGAAATATGTATAATTATACATGACGAAATATAAAACGTTTTATATATATATATATAAAAGGAGCGACTGCAGTATAGAATTACATGTAAGTACTTTTTATACATACTTATATATAATGTCCACAATATTTTATATATAATTATATATGAATCTCTGTTAGTCTAATATATGATTATGTATAAGTCTTGCATCATGTATAAACATATATAAGTAAGAAGCAAATTTCAGATATAGTCATACGCAATTGTATATGATTTTGTATAAATTGAGAAATTCTGGCTAATTGTGTCACTTTTTCCTTAATTTCTACTTAATGTCTTGATTTAAAAATATTTTACTTTTCTAAAGTTTCTATACCTTTTCTCATCGCGCGCGTGCATGCAAGAGAGGAATATAAACAAAATAAAATAAAAAAACACTATTTACATTTATAAG